TAACCAAAGCAAGCTTGAGAAGTTGTGCAGGTCACTCCCTGCTCAGAACCTTTGAGTGCCCAAGGATTCCAGGTGCCTCCTGAGAAGCCCTCCATAGCCCTCCATGAGGCCTCCAAGGCCCTAGTGCTCTGCCCTAGGCTGGTTCTTCTGCCTCTGTCATAAACCTGCCCGGCTCAGGTGCATGGACAAATATTTCCACGTGGCTCCTGTGGGCACAGTGCCTCAGCTTGGCTTACTACCAAAGACTGGTGCTTCAGGGTGTCCTGAGTTCTCAGAAGAATAGGGGGCTACCCTCATCCAGTCTGTCTGGCTCAGTCCTTCATCTTCAGGACCCTCTGCTGAAGCAGGGAAATGGTGTTTTGGGCAGGGCCTGGCCAGCCAAACCCTCATGGCAGTCTGTGCCATGATACAGAACCTGTGGGACTGTGAGCCTCAGGACCAAAGATGGATGGGTGGGGGTTTCTCTTGGCCTGGCACGGATGTTCTGTTCTACTTGGTCCTGTTATTTCTTTGCATGTGAAATATCACTTGTCTGAGAGTCTCTGCCCATAAATCAGGCTGTTTCTGTCAGTGGCGAGACACGCAGGAGTCAGATCGGAAACAAGCGCCTGGTCTTTCTTTCCAGCTGCAGCCTTAATGGGTCACACATAGTGGCTGCCATCCTTGGTCTGTAGGTGGACTGGGGCCACAGCTGGGAGGCGGGGATGGGTTGGACCCTTGGCTTGGCTTGGGACTCTCACAGACTCGAGCCCAGAGCTGGGAATCCCCTTCCCAGTGGCAGAGCCCATGGCATCACAAAGCTGGCCTCTGTTCTTGAGCATTTACAGCTAAGCTTTTGTTTGTTTTAGGGAAGGAGAGCGGAATAAATAAATGGAAACTTGTTGGAAAAAAAGAAAAGAATAGATTAAAAAAAAAACTTGGAGGGGGCTGGGAAGGTGGCTCAGTGGTAGAGCGCTTGCCTTGCATGCATGAGGCCCTGGGTTCGATTCCTCAGCACCACATAAGCAAAAAGAAAAAAGCCGGAAGTGGCGCTGTGGCTCAAGTGGTAGAGTGCTAGCCTTGAGCTGAAGAGCTGAGGGACAGTGCCCAGGCCCAGAGTTCAGGCCCCACGACCAGACCCCAAAACAAACAAACAAACAAAACAACTTGGAGGAGGAGAAGACTAATACTGGAAATAACCTTGCTACTGGTAATAACTTTGATCAAGTCTTCACCTGCCTGGGGTGGACAGAGCATTCTTCACAAGTGACTTTGTCCAGTCCCCACCTGGGCTCTCTTGGGAGGCCGTGTCAGGGGTACTCGAAGTTCAGCAGACACTGGGGTTGAATGGCAGAATTTGAATGCTTTGGTCCTAGCGCTAAATGGCAGTACGTTAAATTACCTACCTATGCCTCAGTTTCCTAAGAATCCAAGTAGTCTCTAGCTCCTGGGGCTGTTGTAGAGATTAAATAAGCTAAAAACATAATGCATAACCAAAAAAAAAAACCATAATGCATAGCCAGTGCGTCTCCCTGAACAGTGCTGCTCACCGTTCCTGCTGCTGCTGCTGCTGGAGTGTGGAGAGGTGGCACCTGGCACCTACGTGTGCCAACAGATGGTGCTGGAGAAGCGAGTGGCATCCTGCAGGCAGGAAGCAGGGAGGTAGCCAATGGTGTCGAGGAAGAGGGCGGAGAGCTGCCATGCCCATGTTCAACACAGGACAAGTAGGAAGCGTGAGACCTCTGGTTTGGGGTGGCTAAGCAGGCTGAACTCCAGTTCTGGCTCCCCTTGGGGAGGTCCAACAAGCCAGATACCCTTGGGTGGGAGCCTAGCCCTGCTCAGCCTTGAGCTGAGTGGGTACAGCCACTCACAGTGGGTCACCCCAGGCTGTCTTCCCCTCTCCACTCCTCTGGAGTGACGCTTAGGCCTGACCTAGTTGTGGCAATCCTATTTGAGCTGAGCTGAGCTAGGCCGAGCTGGCTGTCTCCCTTCAAGCTGCTCTATTTTGGCTTAGGATGGATGACTGGGTTGGACTTAGAAGCCCAGCCTGTTTCTCTCATTTAGTCTGGTTTCAGACAGTTCAGGGGGCCTGACCTAGTCTTGAGTTGCTTCTGAGTGCTTGAGCTGGGTTGACTTTCCATCTCAGGTTTTGGGCTCTCTGTTTTGAAGTCTGGGCCTGTCATGGGGGTTTCTCTTGGAGGGTCAGGTCTATTTAACCGAGAAACTTTCCATGGGTTCTTCACCATCCTGTCTTCTGCATGGGAAATCCTCAGTGCTTAATATCAGGACTAATTAATCTTACAGTCTCCCATATCATATGCTAGTATGATTTGTATTTGGTTATTTCACAGATTAATGATAAACATTCAAGTTGAATCATCATCATGAAATAGCTTTGAGTGCTTCATTTAAATGTCATACTTTTGAAGTTTCTGGAGCTGTGTACCCGCCACCAGCATCCAGTTCTAAAACATTTTTTATCACTCCCCAAACACCCTTGTGTCCATGTGTAGTATCCTGTTATGTGCATTTTGTCTCTTTAAATTTGCCTTTTCTGGACATTTCCTAAGATGGAATCATACATTCTTTGGATCTGACTTCTTTCACAAATCATATTTTTGAGGTCTAATCCTGTTGTAGCTTGCATCAGTATTTCGTGTCTTTTTAGAGTTGAGCATTATTTCATTGTATGGATATATGGCACAGTTTATTTGCCAGCTGATAGACATTTGAATGGTTTCCAACATTAGGCTGTTATGAGTAATGCTGCTGTAGACATTCTGTACATTCCTCTGTGATATATGTTTTCATCCTTTTTAGGTAGATACCTAGGAATAGAATTGCTGGACTGTTTTGTTTAACTTTGTAAAAAAAAAAAAACTGCCAGATCATTTTCCAACGTTATTGTACCATTTTGCCTTCCAGCAGCAGTGTATGAGAATTTCATTTTCCCATGTCCTTGCCAACACTTGGAATGGTCTCTTTGTTCCCCCTCCCTCTCTCTAGTTTTCCTTCCTCCCTTCCTCTCTTCTTTTCTTTGTGGTATTGGGAACCAAAGCCAGGGTTTGTGCATGTTATGGTAACACTTTTATCACAGAGCTGTATTCCCAGCCCCTGTTTGTGATTTTGGTGTTTTAATTCTAGTCATCTTAATGAGTGTGAAGTAGTAGGTCTTTGGGATTGTAATTTGTATTTCCTTTATTAGGTATTAATATATTTTCATTTTCTTTCTTTTTCTTTTTTATCCTAGAGCTTGAACTTGGAGCCTCTTGATTTCACTTGGCTTTTTCCAAGGTGATACTCAATCACTTGAGCCACAGCTCCATTTCCCATTAATATATTTTCTTTCCTGAGAAATGGCAGGTTTTGTTGTCACTACTTTTCTTTTCTTTTTTTTCGGTCAGTTGTGGGGCTTGAACTCTTTGTACTCAAGGCCAGCACTCTACCAGTTGAGCCACAGTGCTACTTCCAGTTTTTAAGTGGTTAATTGGAGATAGTCTCACGAGGACTTTTCTGCCCAGGCTGGTTTTGAACTGTGATCCTTAGATCTCAGCCTCCTGTGTAGCTAGGATTAGAAGTGTGAGCCACCGGCGCCCAGCTAATGATGTGGCAACTTTTTAAAGCAGAGACAGCCATGAATTTATGATCTTTGGTGGCAGGGAACATGCCTTTTCCTGGGAAAAACTGATTAAGCAATGAACGCTCTCAGCCCATTCCTGCTCCTTACACATAAAAGAGGTTTTAGGTTCTCTAGCTCAGCTTTTTCCTCTTTACCTGGACAGTTGTTCTTTCTTTTTTTCTTTTTCTTTTTGTAAAGTAAATTATCCAGCATTTGGAATAGTTAAGAGAATAGTTGGAGATATATAGGGCGAAGTGATGATTATGGCATCATATTGTCTGTTGGACTCGAGTCTCTCATGCTCTTGGGGCCTATGTCTGAGCAGTGGGAGACGGAGACATGTCAAGGGGGCTGGCACTTTGCATCTTCCCTGATGAACCCAGGATGAGGTCTTGCCCTCCAGGATGACCTCCTCATCCTCCAGAGATTAAGTGTGTCCAGAGTCCAGTTCATCATCTTTCCCTATAAACGGAGTCACTCCTATTCCTTTCTTGATGAAGGACACACATCCGTCTGGCAGTGCCCCACAACAAGCACCTCAGCTATGACCTATTCCCTTGCCTGGTTAATTGCAGTGGACTTCCAACCTGTGCCCCTCCATTCCCCATCCTCCCTCCTTTCCTGGTCACTTTCCTGCTGGAGTACTGTTGTTAGTGCATCTGGGTTTTGTGGTGATGGATGCTTGTGGTGTGATGGTACATGTGGTGTGGGAGCAGCCTGCTCCGCACTGTGTTGTCCAGACACAGGAGCCAGACTGGATTTGGAGTGGGTCTTGAATGATGATGCAATGTGCACAGCATGAGCAAAGGCAACCTGTGCCTCAGTTTCCCCCTACGGGACATGGGTATAGTGACAGGACCTCCCTCCAAGTGGTAGGAGGGCTAGATGGCACATGATGAGTGCTTCGTGGGGGTCAGCTGTCATTTGGGTTGGGGCGATGGAGCAGTGAGGTGCCAGGGGAGCAGGACCAGCTGGTCTTCACTCCTCCTTTGCCCCTTCCCCCGCTGTATACACTCGCTTGCCCGTGAGGGCCAGGCATGGTCAGAAAATGGTTGTGCAGGCCAGGTGGGACTGCAAGCCACAATGCAAGGGAAGCCACTGCTCAGTCCTGCTAATGGCTGCCAGGCAGAGATATGGACCCATGCTGCCAGAAAAGCCAGAGTCTGAGTACTGTGTGAAAGTTTCCAGTTTTTAGATGTTGGTAATTAATTTAAAATAGACTGAGTTCTGTACAAGCCCTACAATGGCCCTGTGGGCCATAGTTAGCTTGAAGACCAGCCGCTGATGACCTTTCTCTCAAGGTGTCTCCTGGGTGATTGGCTTCAGTTGTCAGCACAGCTGTCCCCTGGCAGGGTTCCATTGGGTTTGAAGCCTGGTTTTTATGAGCCCCTTTGCCTTGCAGGACTGACTCTCAGGCAGGTTATGTCACCGGCAGAGGCTGCCCTGAAGCTCCCCGCGGCCTGGAGACTATGTACAAGAAGAATGGTCTGATGGCTAGCGTGTCAGTCACCTCTGCCACTCCACAGGTATGGAGGCTGCAGGGACCGGGTGGCCAGGTGGAAGGAGCCTGCTGGCTGGGCTGGTGCATGAATGCCGCCATTCTTAGCATGCCCAGCCCTGGTTCACACCAGGCGTGAGATTTGGGAGGCAGTCAGTCCTGCGGATCAGTGTGTTTTCTGAAGTCGTTCTCTTCAAAGAAAAACAAATACCTGTCCAGTCCAGCCATGGCAAGTGCCACATTCCATTTTGGTGGCAAGAAGGGATCAGAGCTTTCCCAGGAAAATCTGCTGCCGATTATAAATAAGTCGCACATTCTGGAATGAAGTCAGACTGAAGTCATTCCAGCTGGCCCCTGTTCTTATTTACCTTGTTCTGTAGGAAATGGCTGTAAAGGCCTGGTGGTCTGGGCCGGGCCCCTGTGCAGGGCTTAGGGACTTGCACTCCAAGCTCAGTAATGGAATAGATGTGGGGAGGACAGGTGTCATCTGAGGCCTGGTGCCTCTGTGTCTAAGGAGAATGCCAGCTCCTGTGATACAGTGTTGGCTCTGAGCTCACCTATCTAGCAGGGATTTTGAAATGATGTTGGATAACTAGCGAGTAACTGCAACTAGTTTAATTCCTATAAAACTCTCAAAAAAGCCCTTGTTTTGATCTCTAATCTTGAAATCAAGCTTGTAGGTATTTAAAAAATTCTCCAGCAAGGCCAGTATAGTTTAAATAAAATTGCTGCATCATCATCATCATCATCATCATCATCATCAACAACAACAACAACAACAAAACATCATCATCATCATAATCAGTGAATACGTTTGGAGCAACGATTGATTATACTAGTCTCTTTGTATAGTGTGTGTTTGAGGCAGGTACAATGGTATTACAGGAAAGCTGTAGAACTTGAAATCTCAGAAATAGACTGGTAGTTAGAGGAATAGACTTCCCCTTCCAGGATGGAGATGTAGCTCAAATGGTAGGACAAATGTGTAAGGCTAGGAGTTTAAGCCCCAGTATCTCTGGTGGAAAAAAAGGAAAGAAAAGAAAAGAAAAAAGAAAAACAGGAAAAGAACTTAGGTTTCTGTTTTCATATATACTTTACACTCCACCTAGAAAAGAAGGAACTTCTTTCATTACCTGTGTGTATATTGCATGCATACATATGAGTATACATATATACACACTCGCATTCTGCTCTCGGAATCCATGGGGTCTTCTAACCATGGTTTAAAAACATTGGAAACAAATTATATGGTCCTGAACACGTATAGATATTTTTCTTGTCACTATTCCCTAAACAGTACTGTGCAACAACTCTTGATTTCTTAATTTATATTAGTTTTAGAGGTGATTTTATTGTTACATCTCCACACATACTCATACTATATTTCAGTCAATCTCTCTTACCCTTTTTTTCTCCCACTCATCTAACAACTCTTTATTAGCATTTAAATTGGACTAGGTATTATAAAATAACATAGAGATGATACTAGGGAGGCCATGGGAGGCCATTTTACACAAATGACTTAAGCATCTGCAGGTTTCAGTGTCCTGCAGCAGCTATGAACAATCGTGTACAGATACCGAGGGACAGCTGACTGTCCTATATGTATACCTAGCACATGCTAGGTACTCAGTAATATGATGAGTGAATGAATGAATTTATTCATGTACACTTGGAGTGCCCAGTAAAGCTTGGTGACTGAATGGCACATTTACACTCATGTACACCCTTAATTTAGTGCTCACTATATTCCAGGTACTTATTTCCATGTGTCTCAGTCTTTCATGCTCACAGCAACCCCATTAGTTATGTACCTTTATTTAGGCCTGTTTGTAGGTGAGTAACCTAAGGTGCAGAGAAATAAAGATGCTGGCTTTGGATGCCACAGATGGCCCAGTGCATGGGTTTAAGCCAGGCTTTCCTGACTCTCCAGCTGCTACCCCCAACATGATGGCAAGCTGTCCTGGAAGAGATCAGCTCTGCTAGCCTGACTGAGCTGCTTTCTGGAAGGGGATGGATTATGCAGAATAACTTCTAGATCTTTGTCTGCATGAAGGATGGGGAGATGGAATTCCTTGCTAATCCGTGCCCATCCGGAGCACTTGTTAGGACTTCTCAGCATTACTCTGACTCAGATTCTAAAGGGGGGTTGTCCCTCCCACGATGGAGCTTTTAAAATAATCATTCTGAACCTGCCCCATGCCTTTTGAGCCAACATCTCCCAGGGAGAAGGATCATGGAGTTGCCTTCTCAGTTTATTTCGGTAACCCATACTACAACCCTGCGATATAGATTTAATATCACCATTTTTCAGATAAGTGAGACTCATTAACATGGGAGCATGTGCCTGAAATCAGATAGCAACCCATGTAAAGCTGGCATTTTATCTAGGTGCATCTGTCTATAGAGCTCTTAAGCACTGTAGTTTGCCTCATCTTAAAACCAGCTTATGGCCAGTAATGGTGGTGCATGCTTGTAAATCCAGCTATTCAGGAGGCAAAGATTGGGAAGATCACAGTCCGTGGATAACCCAAATTTGAACCTAGCTACTCTGCAGGCCAAATACAGGAGAATCAAAATCTGAGGCTGGCCCTGGACAAAAACACAACATCTAAGCAGAGAAATAACTGAAGCAAAAAGGGACTAGGGTGTGTGGCTCTTGCCTAGCAATGAAGCCTCAAGTTTAAATCCTAGGATTGCCAATGGGGCAAGAGAGAGAGAGAGAGAGAGAGAGAGAGAGAGAGAGAGAGAGAGAGAGAGAGAGAGAGAGAGAGAGAGAGAATAAGTAGAAAAAAAGACAACTAGGAGTTGAGTTGTAAGAACATCTTCATAACACAGGCCTGCTGAAGCTGGCAGGTTACCTTCCTGCTCTTCCTCTCACTCTCCCATTGCCAGTGGTTACTATTACCTTCCCTCTCTGGCCCCAAAACATTCCTTTTTTGTTGTTGTTGGTCGTGGGGCTTGATCTCTGGGCCTGGGCGCTGTCCCTATGCTCTTCAGCTCAAGGCAAGCGCTCCACTGCTTGAGTGTCAGCACCACTTCCAGTTTTCTAGTGGTTTATTAGAGATAAGAGTGTCATGGATTTTGCTGCCCAGGATGGCTTTGAACCGTGATCCTCAGATCTCAGCCTCCTAAGTAGCTAGCCCAAAACATTCTTGTCTCCAGTAAGATTGCAGTATTTTTTCAGATCTAGCCATTTTTGGAATGAATGAAGTAAAGAAGAATTAATAAAAATATTTTCTCTAACCTACACTGTGAGATATTGAGGGAAACAGAAGCCACTAACTCCTTCTTCAGGAGTTTAGGTGTATAGAACTATTTAGAAGAGGACACAATTTGGGGTGGTAAGCCTGTTGGATTCCCAAACATGGACATGTGAAGCAAATGTGTATAGCATTCTGGGATCCACATTGTGAGGGGTTTCATGGATAGACCATCCTTGAGGAGATTCAGCTTGCTTCTTTATGGGACCCCCCCTTCTTCACAGGCAGGATGCAGAATCCTTTACAAGAAAGACTTCTAAATGTGACTTGTACATGACCTGCAAAGCTGGTTACCCCTAAGGCCTTCTGAGGTGCACTGTGTGATGAGTTCCTCTCCAAGAGAAAATGGCCCAGGTCTACTATTCTCTTTCAGGCTCTACAGATGGATGGAAGCCATGGTCTCATGCGTGCTCCAAAGCTGAGCTACAACCTCTTCCCCCCCACCCCAGCCCTGTGCTTTTCCCCCATGTCTATACTGCTGGCCAAAAGCAGGAGTGGTAACTGATAGTATATGTTTTGAGGTCAGATAAGAAAGCAGCTTCACAGCTGAGATGCCTACACTTCCATTACTGTAAAATGGGACCAGTAATGGTGTGCACAGCTGGGGTGCCCTTGAGAACGAGATGAGGTCATACATGTGGAGGGTCTCAAGTGGCGTAAAGTGCTAAGTAAAGTTCTAGGAACTCTTTCATTGTTCTTTTCTGTCATTCTTGCACCCTCTGCTTGAGGTCTGGGAGCAATGATTCCATGCCAGTCACTCAGATGCCATCATCTGTGTTCTCCACAGGGCAGCAGCAGCTCAGACTCGCTGGAGGGCCAGAGCTGCGACTATGCTAGCAAGAGCTACGACGCTGTCGTCTTTGATGTCTTGAAAGTGACTCCCGAGGAGTTTGCCGTAAGTGCCACAGATTTGATAGGGTGGAGACACTGTTGGACAGGGTGCTAGAGAGAGATGCTACTTGAAGCTTTCTGTCGGGGTTGTAGATGCCCTGTAGACCCAATGACAGGGGAGTGTAGAATTTATGTACCATGCAGACTTGAAAAGAAGCTTTTGTTCTAGAAAGGGAAGGTGTGGGCAGTGTACACAAGCAGTAGGTGAAAGGAGTCGCTGCAGCGCAGCTTATGGAGCACATAGAGCATGCACATGTGTTCGCATCCGCTCTACACCTGTGTTTATTCCATAGAGCCAAACATGTTACTTGCTATAGTTTTTTTTGCACTTTATAATTTCCTGCAATGACAGATAATATTGTTTGGGCAATTATTTATATTTTAAAAATTGTTTTTCTTCAACCAGTATTGGTGCTGGTTTGACCAAGGGGTGGTCCCTCAGGTGGAACAGAGCTGGCTCCTTATTTTGGCACGACTTGGTTTCCTCCTTTTGGGCTTCGTGGTTAGAGGGAATATATTGACTCTGAGGTGACCTTTTGTGTGATTTGGGGCAAATTTCAAGGGCTGCGTTTCTCTGCAGGACCATGGAAGTGTTCCACCACACCCACTTTCCTTGTCCCTTATGGTATGGAGGCTTTGTGACACATGAGCCAGCTGTGCCATCCTAGGTTCCCTCGTTCACTCTGTGCCAGGCTGTGCTGGGGCCTTGGTGTGTCCAAGGGATCCATTTAAAACCTGCTTGAAAATTTTCTCCCATTAGAATGAGACCCAGAGTTGCCCTGGGGCCAGCTCTCTCCAGCCATGCTCCTTGATTCTCTTCCCATGCCTCTCTAGCTCTGTACTGGCTGTCTTTTCTCCCCATACTCGCTGGCAGCTTCTTGTCTCACTTGTCCTTTGGTCCAGCTGTTTGCTTTGTCTCCACTTACATGTCAGTGTCAGGGAGGGCTGGCCCCAGGCTGATTGTAGCATCCTTCCATCCCTCTCCTCTTACTCTGCTTTTCTGCAGGACTCTTGTTATTACCTAATACTCCTTTATATAACACTGGCTTTTAATTTTTCTTCCCCTTGAATATAAACTCCCCAGGGATAACTGACTTGTCTATTATTCCCCCCCCCCCACCAGTGCCCCAAATATACCTAGCTCATAGTAGGTGCTCAGTAAACTCAGGTACCCTTAAATGATTCAGTTCTTCCAACAGCCCGGTGAACAGATAATTAGCTACCATTTTCTGTCTTTTTCTTTTTGCTACTTGTGGTACTGGGGATTGAATTCAGGGCCTTGCACATATGAGGCAAGCATGCTACCCTTGAGCTAAACCCCCATCCTCACTACTGATTGTCTGATAGAGAAACTGAAGATACATTGTCTTATGTGAATCTTATAGCTGGCTGTTTGCAGAGCCAAGTCTGAAACCCTCGAATTGTCCAGGAGGTAATAGTTAGGAGGCAATAGTAAAGTAATAGTTAGGAGGTAATGCTAGGAGGTAATAGTAAAAGGAGCTCCCATATTGGACATGTATTACATTGTACTAAATGTTTTACATACCTTATATAATTTTCTGTTCATGATAGCTTTATAAATTAGGCACAATTATTATTCCTAACTGATGGATAAGCAAATCACTGCCTCTTCACACAGACAGTAGGTGTCCTATCTCATGTTTAACACTGGCTCTATCTGAATATACTTCAAGCCACATATCCAGTTCAAACCTCCAAGTAACCATATTGAAAAAAAAAGCAAAGAGTTGCTGTAAATAATAGTATGTACAAATATGAAAGAAATCTCAAAAGGAAGCCAGGCACTGGTGGCTCACGCCTATAATCCTAGCTTCTCAGGAGGCTGAGATCTGAGGATCATGGTTCAAAGCCAGCCCCGACAGGAAAGTCCGTGAGACTCTTATCTCCAATAAACCACTAAAAAACTGGAAGTGGTGCTGTGGCTCAAGAGGTAGAGCGCTCACCTTGAGCTGAAGAGTGCTGGGACAGCGTCCAAGCCCAGGGTTCAAGCCCTACAACCCCTTCCCTCCCCCAAAAAAAATCTCAAAAGGCACCTTTCCTTCCTTCCTTCCTTCCTTCCTTCCTTCCTTCCTTCCTTCCTTCCTTCCTTCCTTCCTTCCTTCCTTCCTTCCTTCCTTCCTTCCTTCCTTCCTTCCTTCCTTCCTTCCTTCCTTCCTTCCTTCCTTCCTTCCTTCCTTCCTTCCTTTCTGTACAGGTCCTGGGGCTTGAACTCAGGGATACTGTCCCTGAGCTTTTTTTTTCTTCCCTCAAGGCTAGCACTCTAGCACTTGAGTCACATCTCCACTTCTTCAAGCTGGGTACAGGTGGCTCAGGCCTATAAATCTAGCTACTCAGGAGGCTGAGATCTGAGGATCATGGTTTGAAGCTGTCCAGGCATAAAAGTCTGTGAGACTCTTTATCTCCAATAAACTACTCAGAAAAAAAAAAAAACTGGAAGTGATGCTGTGGTGTAGTAGAGTGCTAGCCTTGATTACGAAGAGGCTCAGGGACTGTACCCAGGCCCTGAGTTCAAGCCCCAGGATTGGCACATACACACATGAAAAAAAAAGAACACCCTCCCCCTAACCCAATTAATAAATGGGCCACTGAGCTAAAGAGAGTCTTCTCAGAAGAAATAAAAATAGCCAATAGCCACATGAAGAAATGCTGAACATCTCTGGCCATAAAGAAATATAAAACAACATTGAGATTCCAGTTCACTCCAGTTAGAATGGCCGTTATCAAGAAAACAAATGATAACAGATGCTAGTGAGGATGCAGCCAAAAAAGAGCCTTAATATACTGTAAGTATGAATGTAACCCCGTTCAGCCACTCTAGAAAGCAGTATGGAGGTAGTTCCTCAAAACACTAAACTTAGAGCTACCCTATGATCCAGCAGTTCCAGTTCTGGGCATTTATCCAAAAGATTACAAACCAAGATACGGTAAAGCCACCCACACAACCATGTTTATTGCAGCACTATTCACAATAACCAAAGTGTGGAATCAGCCCAGATACCCCAGGACAAATGGATCAAGAAAGTGGTATATTCACACAATGGAATTTGTACCATTTGTAAAGAAGTGGAAAGACCTGGAAAAAAATTATGTTAAATGAAGTAAGTCAGGCCCAGAGAGATTTAGCTTACAAACTTATAAGGAAATACATTGGGTGGTATGCAAGTGTATTCAAATGTGTCAACTGAAATATAGTAGATTCATGGGAGAACTCAACTAGTGTAATTCCTTGGAAAGGCAAAGTCAAAGTTCAGCAAAATAAGACATTAGGAAGTGGGTACTTGAAATGGGTGGGCTGGGGTCACAGGGAAAGGGATGGAAAAATTAAGAGGAGAAGAGGAAGAGAGTGCAATCAAGAACTGAATGTATATCCTGCAAAATTAATTCTGATTTTTCTGGAGTTAATTGGGGTAGGAGGCTCATGGACTTTCCTGCCTGGACAGGCTTCATACCTTGATCCTCAGATCTCAGCCTTCTGTGTATGTAGGATTACAGGTGTGAGCCACCAGCACCTGGCTAAATCTTTTTGATTATACCTTTTTAGGTTATTTAGATTTTTGCTATTATAGCTAAGTAAGCATCTAGATTTCTATCCATATCTATATAGAATATATTGTCTAGGCCTTAATATAGTCTTTTTATATGCAGTGTTTTTCTTCTGCATGTGTCAATAGTATGTTCATTTCACTCTTTAGGAAATAATATTATGCAATGGGTAACCCAGAAAAATTACTGTAAAAAACAGTGTTTGGATAATTAGCAAATCCAAGTGTGAACTATGTGTCAGACAAGAAACAGTCTTGATCTTAGAAAATCTGTAGTGAAGTATTTACAGGGAAAGAGCACTAGATAGCATAATTATTGCCAGCTTAGTTACTCGAAAGAACAGAGTAAGTCATGTCCCCCTCATCATGGGGTACTGGTGGATAACCACTGCTACTTCCTGTGGAACATATATGGTCAGTCATGTGCTTCCTGTGCCTCTGGGAGTGGGTAGACTTCAGGAACAGATCTCAGTAGTGGACTCCTTCTTGTTCTGTTCTTATGGGCCTTCATGGCTATGTATTGTATTGGTGGAGTGATCTAACATGCAGATTTTAGGGTATCTTCTACTATAAAACCTTGTATTGATTTTTCAGCACTTTTTTCCCTTGTCTGTTTGGAGTCTAGGGAGACCCTCATATTAAGGCTGTGCCTAGGAAGAGAGGTGTTACTCAAACACCCCTAGAGGCGAGAAAAGCTATCGTCACCAATTATAAAATCCACTTTTTTTTCTTTTTGGCTATTCAACTAGCTTACCCCTTTCTCTGTAGGGAGGGAGCCACACTGTGACTTGTCCAATAGTTTTCCAATCTGTAGGATTCTTCTCTACTGAAAGGTTTTGTAATGTTGTAACTGGCCATTTCCCTTAAAAACCTGGGTTTTGTAGAGGGTCCTGGCCAGAAGGGACTAGGACTAAGGGAGGTATTGCCAGGTGACAGCTTTCTGGGACACTCTGTATCAAGGCTTTATTTCCCCAAAAAGAAGCCACTAAGAGACTTAGTCATGAGTGTTTCTGTTCAGCTCCATTACTGGGTGCACTTACTGATTAGAAACAAGTATGGGACGGGTCCTGGCCTCACCCCTCAGACCTCCCGATGACCACCTCTCCCTTCAGGTGTATGATGTGTATGACAGGCTGCCTCTGCCTTGCACACCTCACAAGCAGCAATCTCTTTACAGTACTTTGGCATTGGGATAAAATGGCATGAAGCTCATACTCTGGTAACTTTTACCAGAGTATTTTAGTTAGTATAGCCTCAGGCTGTATCCTACATCCATTTTGGTCAAGGTTGAGCCGTTAAGGATGAGGGAGTCCTTTATAAACCCCTCACTAGGTGCCAGGACAACCAATCTATTTTTGTCTGGTGCCACTGCCTGTTGTGAGGTTGTGTAGTACACCTAAACACACTTTTTGACCTAGGGTCTGAGCAGAGATCAGAAGATTTCTAAACTTAAGCTATCCAAAACAGCTCAGAATATAAGGTTGGCATTAATGCCCTTCCCCAAACCTAGAAATTTAGTAGCAAAGTCTAGAATGGATGTCAGTGGAAAGGAAGTTTTCTCATTTTCCTAAATGACACTGCAAACATCCTACTGGTTCTCCTGGATAGGAGGAGTTAACTTGAACAGCAGGAGAGATTTCCAAGACCCTCTGAGCTTTTAGCTCAAATCTCCTGTTTTCACCAGGCCTTTCTGTTCCCCAGTGTGGCAGAATTAATGCAAATATCAGGAGCACTTTACTAACAATCCTGATGAGTCTGGCAGAAGAAATGGAAGTCTGTTTGTACTGCCCTGCCCAGGACATAGCTCTGAGCTCTGCAGCTGTAGACTAGGACAGGGCCTGTAGGCCTGTGGGGCTCACAAGCTATTCCATACCCAGATCACCTGGGCTGGAAGGTTCTGTTGATGTCATCTGCCCCCTTGCCACAGAGCAGGAACTGGCATGGAAGAGCCTGGATTCCCCTTGTGCCACCTTCTGTTGGCTTGCCATGCTTCCATTAGCATTTCACCTCTGTGCCCACAAGGAGCGCTATCCCCTGCTAGGGGACAAAGAGGCTGAAGCTCCTGCTCATTCCTTCTCCCATTCATCCTTGGCCTGTGTCTTGTGCTTTCCAAGATCCCAGTGGTCTCAAACTACTGCCAAGAGCTGGCTACAGTTCTGTACCTGAGCCCTGGATTGTAGTCAGTGGCGACACACCTTATGTATTGTTTTTTCTAAGTGTATTTTTGACAGGAGGCTTTTTGCTGCCTCAATTTTACCACCTCCTTTCACTTTTCTCTGAAGTAGCTTCAGTGCATGGGTGACCATCCAAGCCAGCACTGCCTTGTTTCTTAGTTCCTGTATTGGTTTCGAGTCATAAGTTCACATGCTGATTCATGGCTCCATCTCTGTGACTCGCCTTTTGCTAATCTTTATCTCTTCCTTCATATATTTATTGAGCATCTGTTAGGCACCAGGTATTCTACACCCTTATTTTAAATTTTCACCAAGGTCCTGAAGGATAAGTGTTACTGTCACCACTTTCTAGATGTGGCACTTGAGACTGGAGAAGTTAAGTCATATGCCAGAGAGCATTGCTATTAGGTGACAGTGTCGAGATATACCCCCAGGCTCTATGGATTACAGACCCCAAGTTTGCTCCACTGGACAGGTTCAGTGGATAAAGGCATCCAAAGGTCCTCCGCTCTTCCTTTTCCCTGGCCTGTCACAGAGGCCTGTTGTTAACTGACATCTGTTATCCCATGTGACAAGTGGAAGGAGATAGAATTGTCAGCAAGGATGTCTTTTTTTGCTGTCCCTAGATGATTTTCTAATTCTGAGGATGGCCTTTTAACTTGATACATTTATTTTTTCTCTAATGATGGCATTGGTGGCATTAAACTGACTGTGGTAAAGGACCAACCAGTTCTTTCATTTCCAGTCTGTTGAGGCCTGATACTTAGAAAATATGACAGATATGTGTGGCTGTATCAGATTGCCATGGAAGCTTTCCAGGGTGTGCGCTCTGTTTTGTACCGATCTCTATGAGTGAATGGTTCAGGGACTTAGACATCTTGAATAGCATGTTACCATATAATGTAAACTTATCAAAAGACAAGTATAATTTCTTCAAGCCACAATTTAAAAATAAATTTAAATTTAGAGTAGTGTATAAAATCCTTGTTTATCATTCTGATTTTTAGTATTTAACCCCAACTTTGAAAATTAGCATACATTAGTCATATAAGGGGGTTCCATTGGAACATTCCCACACCTGTATACAATGCATCCTAATCAATCACACCCCCACTCACCTCCACCCTTTTCCTGTTTCCAAAACAATTTCAAGTTTCATTGTTCTGTTTTTATACATGTAAACAACTTGTATCACTTAAGACAACTTTTTAAATTAGAAAAGTAATTCATTCGTGAAATAAAAATCAATACAGCGCAAAAATTTCCAAACTAAAAAAAAAATGTTCCCTTACCCTGGGTCCCACCCTCCAAGTAACTCTGTTAACTTTTTAGTTGAAAGTTCATCTCACAGTCAGAAAGAAGGGTGTGGATGGGGATTTATGAGGTGGGAAAGGGATGGGAGAGGCATTTCAGAAATTTCCCTTATCTCTCACCAGCTATAAAAACCCAACTTGAAACAGATTAAAGACTTAAATGTAAGACCTGAAACTATGAAATACTAGAAGAAAACACAGAGGAAATGCTTCAGGACATTGGAATGGGCAAGGTTTTTTGTTTTTGTTTTTTAATAAAACCTCAAAAGCACAGAAATGAAAGCAGTAATAGATGACTAAGATTATAGGACCTGAAGAAAGCTTTTGTATTGTGAAGGAAATAATCATCAAAGTGAAGAGACAAGAGAGGTGCCAGTGGCTCATGCCTATAATCCTAGCTACTCAGAAGGCTGAGATATGAGGATTGTAGCTCAAAGCCAGCCCAGGCAGGAAAGTCCGTGATATTCCTATCTCTGCTAAACTACAAGAAAAGCTGGAGTGGAGCTGTGACTGAAGTGGTAGAGTGCTAGACTTGAGCACAAAAGCTCAGGGACAGCACCCAGGCCCTGAGTTCAAACCTTAGGACTGGCAAAGAAAAAAAAGTAAAGAGACAACCTATACACTAGCATGGGGTTATTTGTCTAGAATGTATAAGCAACTTTTAAAACCTCAATAGCAATAAACATAACCCTAAAACCTGATTAATAAATGGTCAAAAATAGACATTTGTCAAAAGAAAGCCTATAAATGACCAGCAGGAACCTGAAAGAATCCTCAGCATCAGCCACCATTAGGCAAATGCAAGTCAATACCAGAGTGAGATACTTTCTTACTCCAGGAAGAATGGCTGTTAATTGAAAAGGTAACAAGTGTTGGCAGGGACTTAGAGACTAGGAAACCCTCATACACTTTAGTAAGAATGTAAATTGGTGTAGCTGTTACAGAAAACAGTATGGAGGTTCCCCAGAAAGTTAAAAATAGAACTATGTATGACCTGGCCACTCCCACTTTTGAGTGTAAATCTAAAAAAAATCAGTATGCCAGAGACACCCGAATTCCCATGTTTATTGCAGCACTATTTATAATAGGCAAGAAATGGAATTAGCCTAAGTGTCTATCAGTTGATGCATAGATCAGAAAACTTTGGTATGTACACAGAAGGAATAATATTCAGCAAAGCACAGAATCCTGTTATTTGTGACAGTGTGGATGGAATGGGAGGGCATTATGTTAGTGACGTTAGCCAGGCACAGAAAGACAGAGTATGATCTCACTACTATGTGGAATCTTAAGAAGTTACTCTTAGAGAAGTTGAAAGTGGAATGATGGAATGAGGAGCAGAGGAGGGCGGGGTAGGGAGAGGCCGATCAGTGGGGACCAGGTCACTGTTAGTAGGAGAGAGAAGTTGTAGTGGGGTTGTTTCACAGTATGGTGACTATAGACAGCAACTGTGTACTGTGCATCTCACAAAGCCAAAAGAAAGGATTTGGAATGTTTTTACCATAAAGAAATGGTAAATGCTTCAGAAGATAGATATATTTAACCTGATTTAACTTAAACATTACACAACATATATATACATGTTTCAAACTACCATGTAATACCCATCATGTAATAACCATCAGTTAAAATGAAAGTTTTATGCATTTATCCATTAAAGGAATTTGAATTAATAAGAAGTGCTCTCTTTTGCTCTATTCTGTCATGAGAGGAGTATAGCTTCTGGGTCTGAAGTGATATGGCAGTTGTCTTTGATGTCTAGCATTTCCTAACATGACTCTCTTTTGTTTCAGAGCCAGATCACTCTCATGGACATCCCCGTGTTTAAAGCCATCCAGCCGGAGGTCTGTACTTCGCCCTTTATTACTCTCTCACTAATGCTGTGGTGGGAAAAGAGAGTACAGTCAGTCCCTCTCGGAGTGACTCATTTTCTCACTTTCTCTCTTGGAATCTATAGATGGTGTGTTATAGGTTTAGACCTCTTTCCATTTTCACTGCTGCCCATTGTTTGAGTCTAGTGTTGGGGTTCTGTAGAGAAAGCCAGTTGTCTGGTGTATGCAGGCATGTTGAGCAGTCATTACCCCAGGCCTGATGCCAGAGAGTCAGCATAGATCTACTCCTCCGTGTCCCAGGCTGCCCTGGCCAAAGAGTGTCAGGAAAGGCATGTGAGGGTGTATTCTAGAGGCCTTCCTTTTTGCTGATCCCACATTCTTGGTGGCCGCCTTGCTTGTTATTGAAACCAGTTGCCATAGCAAAATGCTTACATATTTTATGTTAAAAGTGTATGTATGTTTTTAGAAACAGTAATGGGAAAAGAGTTGATTTTAGTCTTTAAAAATTCCTGGAAATGTCTGGCAATTGGTAACAATGAGGCTTTAGTTATTTTCTCCAAGGTTTCATGTTTTTGCTACCAAATAACAGAAATCCATTTCAAAGTAGCTGAATAGGCAGAAGAGAACTTTATCCCCAGGAGAGAGGTCACCTCACAGAACCATGTATGGGCAGCCTGGAGGGCCCTTCAAGACATGGGCAGGCTCCAATTCCTGCTTTTGTGCCCTCTCTCCTGCCTGCTTTCCCATCTGTACATCCTATTTGACCTCCCCAAAGGACCACATCTACATGATCCCCGTTTAAGCAGATATCCCAGGCTAGCCCAGTTTAGTTGTGTCCATTGCCAGTCCAGTCACCTGAGGTTAAGATGAATAAACAGGACTGGGGCATCATCCTTGGGGATGAGGTGTAGATCTCAGAAAAGGAGAGTGAAAGTATGGTGGGAGGATAGGCCAAAGTGTTTGCTGCAACCCAATTCTAGAACATTCCTAGCTTTGCAGTACAATGACTGTGAGACTGAGAGTGACTGTATGTCCCAATAAAAGCCAGACAAAGTATCTAAGCCTCTCCAGAGCAGGTATCGATTTATTACAAATTCCAACGAAACCATGTGCTGGCTGTTCTCAGCATGTACCTGAAGATGTCGTGGCAGTTTGAGTTTGTGTGTGTTCTGTCCATTACGCTTGGGGAGCCAACCTCTGTGTGCTTGTTTGAACTGGCTGACTTCATCTTTTTCTGTTTTTTTTTTTTTTTTTTTCCCTAATGTGGAACAATTCATTGTTTCTAATAAACAACCCCTACCTCTTGGAGCTCTTGGGTGGAGTTTGGTGTGAGGGTTATCTTCGGTCTCAACTAAGGCATTTCTGATGTCCTCTGCTTAGCTGTGATCTGGAACAGTGTAGACATTTGGGGTTTTTGTTCTTTGTCCTGCATATCCCGGGTTTTCAGGCAGCTAGCATCACTGTCCAGGCAGATTGTGGGAGGGAAGTAGGGTATGTGTGTGTGTTGTCTGTCAGCAAGGCCAAGATCGAGACTCTTCTCCTAGGCACCATAATGTGGCTATGTACCTTGTCAGGGCATGTCTTGTGTCAAGTTTTAACTAGACATTAAAGTGGAATGTTAGCCTTCAGGAGTTTAGTTTAGAGGACAGCTTTGGAAACATGGGGTGGCCAGTCCCACACACTACTACACACTCTCTCTCTCAAACTCTTTCTCTCTCTCTCTCTCCATATGCCTGCATGGGATCTGAACCTTCACTGTGGTCTGGAAACCAATCAGTACTATTTTGTAAAAGTTAACCAGGTGCAAAGTGAGCATTCAGAGTGATTGTTTGGAGCCATCTGGAGAAACCCAGTCTTGAACTTTTTGGGCATATGACATGCTAAGGGCTTATACCTCATCATCAAAGCCATGGTTCAAAGGAGTCTGGGAACTGCCCTGGCTCTTCTGCAGCTGTTATTGTTAGCAGACTGAAAACTGGAATTTTTCCTTTGGAGGATGCCTGCCATGATGTGGCTAGAACACCCTAGAGTGGGAAGGGCACGAGTAAAGCACAGTTGGAAGTTGGATATAGTGAGACTTTAGAGGAAGAAGAGGCTAGCAGCTGTGAGCACCACGGGCACCAGGAGTCACTGGGGTCCCAGGAGATCAGGAGGCCTGTAGACCAGTGTCTCTCAAACCCAGTTGAATTTCAGAATGAAAAGAAATACAGAGAAAGGGCTTTCTTGTTGGAGATTCTGACTGCACAGGCTTAGAATGAGTCTGAGGACCTGCTTTTAAACAACTTACCAATATACATGGTCAAGGGTGAGAACTAAGGATACAGTTGACTATAAGACCAGAAGAAATGTGTTTTGTGAAATTCTAATTCCATAAAGCTTTGTCTTTGTCTGATTACTACTGACTGAGAGCACTCTCAGTTCAGAAGAATAATTTGGGCCACAGGCTCTATAGTCAGGATGTGGTCCAGGCCTGTTTGAGTCTAGACAGTGTCTGACAAGTGTGACACATGTGGCTCCCATATCTGATGACAGGAATACACCCATTGTACTGGGCTCCCTTGTGGAGGAAACAGCATATACACCCTCCCTAGACCTGTAAGATCCTGTGGGGGTGGAGGGGTAGAGGGGTAGGGGGTGAATATTGGTGCTGACTGGGTTTTGCTTAAGTGCTGTGGACTTCTGGGGTTCTCTGGAAGGCAACAGGTGCTTTTCCCACCTGACCAGTTTGCCAGCTGGCCTCAGGTCTCTGCTTTCTCTACCCCTCTCTGAGAGTTATAGTCTTGCTCTCTGCTATTAATACTGAGTGGGGGGTACATAGCAAGAGGAGAGATCAGGAGAGGTAAGATTCCTGCCTTTGGAATCTGGCTACAAAATGTTCTGGTGAGATCTGGACATTTGGGAATGGTGTTAGGGATGGTTCTGGAAGAAGATGTTCACATGTATAGATGTATGTCATGGACACTCGCTTTGAAGAGGGAAGTGGGAGAGATTTGAACCTGAAGCCATTTCACCCGCAGTCACGAGTCTTTGGTGCTGCCAGGAAGGTAGCTACCTGAGGGCAGAGGGCAGAGATCCTACCTACTCAGATGCTTGCTTCTGTGGCCCTGGTTGGTTTGCCAGGCCTCTATATCTGAATGCCCTGTGGACCCATGCATGAACACAGGTTTTTAAGTGGATGGATGCTGCTGTAGGCTTGGGCAGTGTGCAGACTATAGGCCAGGCACCTTGGATTAGTTCTTACCATGTACCTGCTGTTGCTGTGTTCATTTTATATATTGGGAACAGGAGGAAGTACTGTAACCTGTTACATATTAATCCTCTGTTGCTGTATAACGAATGCTCCCCCAACTGAGAGCTGAAAACATCTCTCAGTTTCTGTGGGGCCAGATATAGGAGTGGCCTCATTTTCAGCCTTCTTAGAAGGCTACAGTCAGGAAATGGACTAGGTCTGCCGTCCTCTGAAGGTATAGCTGGGGCTGGAGGCTTGTTTCTGTAGTGGTACTCACCTGACACCTCATCAGTTTGTCCTGGCTGTTAGTGGTGGCCTCAGTTCTTGATATATGGAACCTTCCATAGGACCAATTGACTGTCCTGTGGCGTGGGAATGTCCTTGTAGCCTAGGAGATAACATTCCAAAGAATAAACAATCAGGGCTGGGAAGGTGGCTCAGTGGCCTTGCATGCATGAGGCCCTGGGTTTGATTCCTCAGCACCACATAAGCAAAAAGCCGGAAGAGGCACTGTGGCTCAAGTGGTAGAACGCTAGCCTTGAGCTGAAGAGCTGAGGAACAGCACCCAGACCCAGAGTTCAGACCCCATGGCCGGACCACCCCCCCCCCCAAAAAAAAAGAATAAACAATCAGGGAAAGCAAGCAGAAGCTATGATGATGTTTCTGAGCTGGCCTTGGGAGTCATCTCCTCTTCCCAGTGTCTTACTAGCTTTATAGATCAGCCCAGTCCATAAGGAAGGAGGTGGCACAAGAGCTGAGCACCAGCAAGTGGAAATCATGGGAGACATTTTGAAACTGCCTGTCACAGGCACTTAGCTAACAGGTTTAGGCAGTCAGAGCAATTCTGGAACTTCAATGATGGGGACCTTTGGTAACTATGTCACCTCTCTGTCATCATTTCTACATGCAAAGCAGACTGTATTACATACAGAGCATGGTACTAAGTGGCCAGACTGTATGTGCCACCTTCTTTAATGACATACACTTTCAAGTCCATTTAAAGAAAGAGAAACTTAAGCTCAGATCATGTAACTACTACAGCGACTTGTCCTAGTTGCTAAGTGAGGGAGTGAGATTTGAATCTGACAGCAGGAGTGGGAATTCATAGCTTCTGTTGCTATTATGGTCATTGTTGCTACTGGGACTATTGTCCCACCCATCAGAAGCCTTTGTTTACTCTAGGACAAATACCCTACTCTACCATTCTCCCATCTTTCTGCCTCATAGTCTCCTCTCATATTTTCTCTCCCTCATATTCTATAGAAGTGTTTGTTGTTAACAAGAGAGAGATGAACACTTCTATACTTATACAAATTGAATAATTATTAAGATTTGGCTGTATTTGCTTCATTTACCTCTTTTTGTTTCCAGAAATCTCTGAAAGCAAATGCATAGCAAGTATTTTCCTTCTCCAAACTTCAGGTGCAAATCTTAAAAGCTATTCTTGCGTAACACCTACCACAACTAGCAGTAATTCTTTGGGATCTAATTGGGAAAAATTCACATTTTCCCAGTTATCTCAAATATATAAAGTAAATGAAACACATAAACAATAATGGTATCTATAGCTGCTGAAGTCATGAGCCAGCATGTTGCATGTGGCCATCATGTTTCTCAAATTCCTCCTTTGTTCTGGTGTGGGCCACCCTTCTTCCTCTCTGTTACATCCTTAACTTGTCAAAGACTAGGCCCCCTGCACTGTGTAATAGTCCACAGTCTGAACACTCTGCTTCCTCCTGGTGATATATCTACTAGCTCTTATTTTCTTTTCACTGCAAGTTAA